TGAGACAGACAACAACAATTTCAGACAAGTTGAGAAAGACAACAGTCTCAGACAAGTTGAGACAGACAACAACAGTCTCAGACAAGTTGAGACAGACAACACTCTCAGACAAGTTGAGACACGCAGAGACCATGTTTTAAGAGACAGATAACAACAATCCCGGAGAAGATGTGACAGACAGACCGACAGACAGACAAAGAAAGACAGACAAACAGATACCTTTCAGTGATGACTCTAGCGCAGGCCCGGAGGACACTAGAAGCTGCCAATCGATCATCAGCGTCCATCAGCGAGTGACACCTGGTTCTTGTTTCCGCTGCCTTCTCCACGTGCTTGGTCACCCTCAGCTGGTCACTGTCCTGGTGGTCAAGATCAACTGAAGATCAAGATCAACTGTGGTCAAGATCCCGTATCAGTGCGATAATTGTTTACCCCCTGTGTAGTCTTCTTCTGCGTTTCGTTTTTGTTTTATCGTCACTGTTGTTGTTGTTGTTCTTCTTCTTATTGTTGCTGTTTTTCTTCTTCTTCTTCTTCTTCTCTTCCTTCTTCTTCTTCTTCTTCTTCTTCTTCTTCTTCTTCTTCTTCTTCTTCTTCTTCTTCTTCTTCTTTCCTTCTTCTTCTTCTTCTTCTTCTTCTTCTCTCCCTTATTCTACTCCTCCTCTGTGCTTGTCTGTTCGATATACGTCTTCTTCCATCCCATCTAAACATGCACAAGACAGTGATGACCTCAGCGGCAACTGGCTGGTCAGTAGACAATAAAATAAATCAAACTTCCTGAGGAATCATCGACACGGTCTCATGGCAATCCATCTCTTCCATCTCCTTCTGCCTACCACTCTTTCTCCCTTTCAATGTGTGTGTGGGGGAGGGGGGGGGGGGGCACTGCACCATGACCTGATAATCCTTACGCGCTTTTCTCTACAACCACACGAACTTCAACGGGGCTCAGTTTTAAGAGTTCGCTGACCAGCAAACAAACAAAAACTAGAAACTAAAAAACACACCAGACAGTTAACCAAGTATTCAGTCAGCAAGTCAGCTAACCAACCAGTCAACCAAGCATTCAGTCAGCAAGTCAGCTAAATAGCCAGTCAACCAACCATTCAGTCAGCAAGTCAACTAACCAACCAGTCAACCAAGTCCAATGCTCATTCAACTGTCTGGAAACACCTTTCAACAAAGTGCTCTTAAAAAGGGTCGGCACCAGAAGAGATTTGAGCCAAGGATGCAGGGGAGATAAGAAAAAACGCTACAGACATAAAATGCAGCCAGCAGACATCCAAGTCATCTCTGATCCAGCGAACGCTGTACCGTCAATAATGTCCACAAACAATGTTAGGAATAGCTGTTTCTCGTCACTGTGATGGCTCTACTGTATGAAGATTTCTTTCTCTGTAAAGGTTTCCTGCTTTTTCGTTGCTGATAAAGATCTTTTTTTTTTTTTAAACGTCCGCTTGTTGTCTGACACACTATCTCATCGAACAACTTATGAGCCAATAACTGACTGTATAAAACAGCAGCTCTACCTACCTGAGGAGGTGGGTTCCACCATCGAGCAAACAGACGACCGTAAGGCAGACCTAGATCCCTCTTGTTGGCCGCTAGCCAGGCAGAGCGGTGGTTCTTGAACAAGACCAAACAGGCGTTGGTGGCCTGCTGGTAAATGGCTTCTACTTTGCCGAACCTGCCAGAGCAAAAAATCAGTTTGGCCTGTGAATTGACCATCTGGCCATTTGCTATACTACAGTGACATGGGTACAACAACGCTTTGAACATAAACAACCCCGTCATGGCCATTGCTAGGTCGGTAGTGATGTCATGGCCATTGCTAGGTCGGTAGTGATGATGGTGATGACGTGGTAATAATGATACATAAGTAGGCAGCAGGTATTTATCCAGCAGCAGAGGTGTAATGTTGTGTGTAGATTCTGGTTTCCACTTACCTGGACAGGTAAAGATTCCACTCACCTGGACAGGTAAAGATTCCACTCACCTGGACAGGTAAAGATTCCACTCACCTGGACAGGTAAAGATTCCACTCGCCTGGACAGGTAGAGATTCCACTCGCCTGGACAGGTAAAGATTCCACTCGCCTGGACAGGTAGAGATTCCACTCACCTGGACAGGTAAAGATTCCACTCACCTGGACAGGTAAAGATTCCACTCACCTGGACAGGTAAAGATTCCACTCGCCTGGACAGGTAGAGATTCCACTCACCTGGATAGGTAGAGATTCCACTCACCTGGATAGGTCGAGATTCCATTCACTGGCAGGCAGAGATTCTAGTTACCTGGACACGTAGAGATTCCACTCACCTGGACAGGAAGAGATTCTACTCACCTGGACAGGTAGAGATTCCACTCACCTAGACATGTAGAGAAAGAGGAAATCCAAGGAAAAGCTCGGCACTTCCTTGTCAAACCTCCAGCGAATCTGCAGCGTCCGGTCACAGGGCAGCTGCTGTAGGCAGGTCTTTAGTTGACATAGATACTCTTTCCTCGACAGACTGGCGGTGAAGGCGAGGGCGGGGTGGGGAGGAAACATAATCTTAGTCAAATGGTTTTCACAAATGTTTAACTTCCCAACCCCACTGTCCCCGTTTCCCAATCCAAATGTTTTAGCTTCCCAATCACAATGTCCCGGTTTTACCATTCCAAAATCCAGGTTTCACCATTCCAATATCCAGGTTTCCCCCATCCAAGTGTCCAAATTTTTCCCATCCCAGTGTCCAGGTTTCCCATCCGACTGTCTCGGTCTCCCCATCCCAATGTCCAGGTTTCCCGATCCGATTATCTCAATTTTCCCCTCCCAATGTCCAGGTTTCGCCATTTCAATGTCCAGCTTTCCCTATCTCAATGACCCATTTTCCCCATCCCAGCGTCTAGGTTTCCCCATTCTAATGTCCAGGTTTCCCCGTCATAACGTCCCGATTTCCATATGCCAATGTCACGGTTTCCTCCATCCTCCTGTCCGCCCCCTCCCCCACTACCACAATGTCACGGTTTTCCCATCCCAATGTCCCGGTGTCCCCATCGTAACAACCCCTGCTTCCACATCCCAATGTCCACCAACACCATCTCCCCTCACAGTGTCCAGGTTTTACTTTTTCATTGTCCAGGTTTCCCCACCCCAGTGTCCAGGTTCATCCATTATAATGTCCAGGTTTCCACATACAAATGTCCAGGTTTCAGCATTGTAATGTCCAAGTTTCCGCGCCCTAAATGTCCAGGCTTCCCCAACTCAATGTCCAGGTTTCGCATCCCAATGTCCAGGTTTCGCATCCCAATGTCCAGGTTTCGCATCCCAATGTCCAGGTCAACAGACCCAGCTGCTCTCGTTTCGCCCTCCCACATGCCGAGTCTCCCATCTCAATGTCCTGACTTCATCATAACAGTGACCTGAGTTTATCTCATGAAAACACCATCAGTCCAGTGTTGCCACTTTTCTTTGACAAAAAACATCCAGAACGGAGTCAAAATATCTAAATACATTTAAATTGGCGTGGAAAACATCTAGAAAATACATCCAAATGGAAAGAGTCACAAATTACATAGCAATTGATATGACTGACCCCATAGAATCATGTCCTCATCTTTACTGAAGTCTGCCTTACAAGATGTACAGGATAAACTTAGCTTGGATGATGAAGTTGAAGCTTCAGATCCAAAATGACTCTGATATGCTTTAGCTGTTCCAATTTCATTTAATACCCAATCAAGGAGCTGATAAGTGGAACAGCTTTTTCCTACTCTTACCCTGTCGAATTTTATTGTCAAGACAGCATTCAAGAGGTCAAATTTCATCCTGTTTCTTAAGTTAGATTTGATAAATTCACTCCAAATAAAAAACATCTACCACCTAAACGTCAAAAACGCCATCTAAATGCAAGGAAAACATCTAAATCTGGATGTAAAACATCAAAAGTTGCAACACTGCATCAGCCTACGATCAAAAACCGCCAGTGTTTTTCAGGTGACTTTCCCAAGGACACTTACTCTGTATAAATCTGGGCATGGTTGAGATGATTCCTGTATGGTAGGCGTCCCCACATTTCACTGAAAGCGTCCGAGGTTCGAAACTGTGGTTTCATTGAAGGAAATGTGGAGTACTTGGACACGGTAGTTTTCTGCCAGCCACCTGAGGTGGGCTTCACTGACCACTGGCTAGTGATTCGAGGCATCTTTTACTGACCTCTGTGACGTCACAGGAACCTGTAGACATCGGGCAAAGACAACATCCATCACTGGCACATTCTCTGTGTGGGTTCAGGGGTCCCATAGTGGTGGGAGAGAGGGGGGGGGGGGGTGCTGACACATTCTCTGTGTGGGTTCAGGGGTCTCATAGTGGTGGGGAGGGGGCTGACACATTCTCTGTGTGGGTTCAGGGGTCTCATAGTGGGTGGGAGAGGGGGCTGACACATTCTCTGTGTGGGTTCAGGGGTCTCATAGTGGTGGGAGAGGGGGCTGACACATTCTCTGTGTGGGTTCAGGGGTCCCATAGTGGTGGGAGAGAGGGGGGGGGCTGACACATTCTCTGTGTGGGTTCAGGGGTCTCATAGTGGTGGGAGAGGGGGCTGACACATTCTCTGTGTGGGTTCAGGGGTCTCATAGTGGTGGGAGAGGGGGCTGACACATTCTCTGTGTGGGTTCAGGGGTCTCATAGTGGTGGGAGAGGGGGCTGACACATTCTCTGTGTGGGTTCAGGGGTCTCATAGTGGTGAGAGAGGGGGCTGACACATTCTCTGTGTGGGTTCAGGGGTCTCATAGTGGTGGGAGAGGGGGCTGACACATTCTCTGTGTGGGTTCAGGGGTCTCATAGTGGTGGGAGAGGGGGCTGACACATTCTCTGTGTGGGTTCAGGGGTCTCATAGTGGTGGGAGAGGGGGCTGACACATTCTCTGTGTGGGTTCAGTGGTCTCATAGTGGTGGGAGAGGGGGCTGACACATTCTCTGTGTGGGTTCAGGGGTCTCACAGTAGTGGGAAAGGGGGGGGGGGAGCT